CCTGGGCTCAAGCGAGTCTCCTGCCTCCGCCTCCCAAGTAGCTGGGACCACAGGCGCCTGCCACAACGCCCGGCCATTTTTTGGTTGCAGCTGTCATTGTTGTTTGGCAGGTCCGGGCTGGGGATTCGAACCCGCCACCTTAGGTGTACGTGGCTGGCGCCCTAGCCGGTCAAGCCATAGGCGCCGAGCCTAGTCTTTTATCTTAAACTGCTCAGTTGATTGCATTACCACACGACTGCACCTCGTGGGTTTAAACGCATGTCCTCCAGGCCCTCCTCATCTCACTGCGAATCCTGAAAGGATGCTCTTTGTTGGCTTTCTAGGATATCTCTCACCCTCATGGTCTTCGTCAATTACGGAGGAGGAAAATACTGGTACTTCAAACACTCGAGTTGGAATGGTGAGATACTTCCTAAACACGTCACTGCTCACGTAGGTTGATCCAGAGAGCTGCAGGTGGGAGAGAATCACTCAGGCTTCCCCCTCGGAGCCCCAAGGTGCAGCCACACCAGCCACCTGGAAGCTGCTGAGCTCCTGTCCCGCAGAATGACCTTTCTTTTTTTTTTTTTGGCCGGGGCTGGGTTTGAACCCACCACCTCCGGCATATGGGGCCAGTGCCCTACTCTTTTGAGCCACAGGTGCCGCCCAAGAATAACCTTTCTGTCACTCTGTGAGGCTGTTAGCTTTGTTCACCCTTGTGTGTGGTGAATCTATAAGGCCTGTAGGTACACAGAGACTCTGAAAGTTTCACTTGTGGACTGTTGGGACTTTGCACTGGTTGCAGATGGTCATTGTCATGTTCCAGATATGTCTTTTATGACAACCATTATATTCTTGGGGGTTCTGTCTTCTAAGACTTATGTGGTCCTTGGGGTGGGATTGAACTGGAACTGGTCTGAACAGTGCTGAATAATCTCTGTGAATCTGGTATGTAGTTGGTTCGAGAATGGATTGTCAATAGCACTGCTTCAGTGTAACGTGTCTGCACACTTCTAGTTTGGCTCTCCTGTGTCTAGTTACATTCATAGGAAGTGTCCCAGCCAGGCCCAGTGAAAAGTTGCAGAGCCTCAAGGGAGCGTTTGCCTATGTACCTCTCTGCATGTGTTTACTTTTTTGTTTTTTTGAGGAGTCTCACTTTGTCACCCTCAGTAGAGCACTGTGGCATCACAGCTCACAACCTCAAACTCAACCTCTTGGGCTCAAGCGATTCTCTTGTCTCAGCCTCCGGAGTAGCTGGAACTACAGGTGCCCACCACAGTGTCTGGCTATTTTTAGAGACGAGGTCTCACGCTTGCTCAGGCTGATTAAGTCATGAGCTCAGGCCATCCACCTCCCTCGGCCTCCCAGAGTGCTGGGATCACAGGCATGAGCCACCATGACCGGCTTGCACGTGCTTACCTTCTGTATATCAGTGTGTGATGAAGTTCATTCTAGATTTAGGAAATACTGATATTCTCAAGTCCTTTTTTTACCGCTTGTTCTTGTGTTACTCTGCAGGACTGACGGTGGCGGACCTTGTATTCCCATGGTGAGTGGACACTCTTACAGTCATCTCTTCCACGGGTCAGCTCTAGCTTTTTGTTTTTAAGATAATGGTGGAGACTCTCTCTGAGATCAGCCTTACATTCTGGACCTAGGCTGTGTTCTGCTGTTAAGAGTCCTTCCAAGAGTTGTGTTACTGGAGACTTCTTACATCTGCTGCAGTGCTTACACATGTGTATGTGAAAGATGAGTGGCTTTGTAGGGAACATTTTGTTGGTGTAGATACAATATGCTAGATCCTGAAATCTCACAGAAGGGAATCAGAAATACTGAATGTGTAGTTAAGTTCCATTGATTCTGAAAATAATTATAAAGCCCTGTTTCCTAAAAGGAATGTACTATATTGGTATCAGTGAATGCTGATAAATACATATATGTAGCAGGGTGATGCTAGTATTAAATTAAAATTTAAAATAATAGTTTAGTAATTGAAAGCTGCCTGTGGTTCTCCACGACTTCTTCCTGTGGAGGACATTTTCTCTGTGTGGTGGAATTTGCATCTTTGGTCTCAGATGCTGTTGACTTTACTTTACGGGGCGGAGGGGGTGGGTAGAACCAGGCAGACTTGGAGTCTTTGGTCTCTTGTGCTTTATCACAAATAGAAACTCAGGTGTTGGAGGAAGATTCTTTTATTGATTTGTTTATTTTGAGATGGATTTGGGATGGGGGAAGTTTTATATGCCTGAAGTTCTGGTAATGATTTACTTATGTATAATCTATGAGATTCCCTACAGGGAAAGTTCTTGTTAGAAGAGGCTTCTGTCTGGCTAGGATGACCCTGAAAAGGGAGCCAGGGGACCCCAAGGGATGCAGCGAGAGCAAACGCTCCTCTCTGTAACCCCGAGCCAAGCAGAAAGATGAGCACTCTGACTTTCTTTTCAAGAAACAATTGAACATGGTTACCCAAAAAAAGGAAAAATGTATGCAACTCAGACCAAATGGAGAGCAAAACTAAGCTTTCATTTTTCTTTTGGAAGCAGGAGTGAATTTAGAAATGATTGGAATGTTCTGTTTATTTATCAAGGCCTTGCTGGGCATGCTGGTGAATGTCTAGTTATCTGGTGACATGGTTGTACCAGTTTCATTCCCATTTCTCTCTGATACCTAAAAGGGAGGGTTGTCCTTGGAATGTCGGTCACGGTTAAAGCTGGTTAAAGCTGCTCTCCCAGGACGGGACTTGCACGTGGGCTTTGACAGAGCCCCGCAGGCTCAGCAGGGCTGTTCTCGTGTCCTCCTGGACTGGGAGCTCCGTGTTATTTCAGTCATTGGCTCTTTACACAGATCACGTGTTGCTTCTCTTATGTAGCATATTTTGTAATATTAATACCAGACAGACAGAAAATGGGAAATGGCCAGTTACCAACAGCTGCGTTTCTTTTTCTTAGGTTTGTATTTATCATGGGATCTTCAGTTTTTCTATCAATGACATCTGTACTGCAGCGGGGATGTTCAAAAGGCAGACTGCTGAGGAAAATTGCCTGGAGGAGCTTCCTGTTAATCTGCATAGGAATTATCATTGTGAACCCCAATTACTGCCTTGGTCCATGTGAGTATCCCCCCTCTCTGAGTATATATTCTGACTGAAATATGGAAAGAAAGATACGTCATCTCTCCCATCTCAGGTACCTGCAGATGGGACAATTGTTAGAAAAGTATGTACAAAGTTTGTAGAACTTTGGGTGTTATAATATCTTAGAATTTTAGACCTGGGAAGAGGCTCTAAAACTACTCAAATGCTTTTATTATACAAAGGAAAATTCTGAGGCCACGAGAGATGGAAGGATTTTTTCTGGATTATTTAAGTGCAGTAAGGAGCAGGGAAGGGACCAGGCCAGGGGACCATCTTCTCATGCTCTGCCCTCTGCCAATTTTGCCTTCATCAGCTTTCAGTATTGTGTGGTAGTTCTAGAATCTGCCTTTGTCAGCACTTGTGTGCCCCCTGGGTTGCTGGGGAGAGATGACATCTTTGTCCAGTGAGATGGGAACACTTAGGGAAGGACATCAGCCCTGGGAGGGCAGGAGTCACAGTCCTCAAGGGCCTTACACTGTCATTAGTGAGAGGACACAGGAGCCATGTGGAGCCCTCAGGCAGTCGGCATTTTATTGAAAGGCTGTAGAGGCTCGGCGCTGTGGCTCAAGTGGCTAAGGCGCCAGCCACGAACACTGTGAGCTGGCAGGTTCGAATCCAGCACAGGCCCGCCAAACAACAATGACGGCTGCACCCAAAAAATAGCTGGGCATCGTAGTGGGCGCCTGTGGTCCCAGCTACTTGGGAGGCTAAGGCAGGAGACTTGATTGAGCCCAGGAGTTAGAGATTGCTGTGAGCAGTGAAGCCACGGCACTCTACCCAGGGGGACAGCTTGAGGCTCTGTCTCAAAAAAAAGAAAAAGAAGAAGAAAGGCTGTAGATACTGGAAAAACTAGAGTTTACTTCCACATGGGTCTCACATAAAAGTGGACTTGATGGATCTCCAAAAAGTGAGCCATTGCTTCCAGTGGGTTCGTAATCAGGTTTGTTACTGGGCTGTAGCTGGACGTAGCCTTGTGTCAGATCAGTGGCTTGTGTTAGGTCTGCTAGTTCCTGGTGGGCATGACAGCTGAATTCTAAGGGGAAGGGGCCTAGAAATGGAACTGCGGGGTCAGGGGTAGTCCTTGTTTTATCTCTACACCGTCTCCCAGCTGGCAGCCTCCCTGGTTTGGGTTTGAGCCAGGTCCCTTTTAAATGGGACTGGCCTGCTTTTGGAACTCGAGTTTAAGAGCTTAAAGAGACTTCCTTAGATGTAATACAGGTCCATCTTTCCCCTTAGGAGAAAAGATAACATTGTCTTAGGCTGAGATGAGAACTGTTGGCGGGCACTTTATCTCGCTTGCACCTTTGCAGTGTCTTGGGATAAGGTGCGGATTCCCGGCGTGCTGCAGCGGCTGGGAGTGACCTACTTTGTGGTTGCCGTGTTGGAGCTCCTCTTTGCAAAACCTGTGCCTGAGAATTGTGCCTCGGTGAGAAGCCATGTTTCTAAAAGCAGAGGGGGAATAATTACAGAGTTGTAGAATTTTTTTTCAGTTCTTCCCCCCCCACTGTGTTTAGTTATTTTTATTTAATCTTTGTATCAACTTTTTTTATTATGATAAAAAACACGTTGTGTGGCCTGGCGCCTGTGCACAGTGGTTACGACACCAGTCACATACGTCCAGGCTGGTGGGTTTGAACCTGGCCTGGGCCGGCTAAACAACAATGACAATTGCAACAAAAAATAGCTGGGCATTGTGGCAGGAGGCTATAGTCACAGTTAACTTGGGAGGCTGAGGCAAGAGAATCACTTAAGCCCAAGAGTTTGAGGTTGCTGTGAGCTGTGATGCCATGGCACTCTTCTGAGGGCGACATAATGAAACTCTGTTTCAAAAAAAAAAAAACAAAAAACATGTAGAGACAGGGCTTTGCTCTTGCTCAGGCTGGTCTTGAACTCCTGAGCTCTGGCAATCTTCTCACCTAGGCCTCCCGGAGTGTTAGGATTACAGGTGAGAGCCACCATGGCTGGCCCAGCATAATGTATATTAATTAAAGTTCTGTGTCACTATCATAAAAGCCCAGAAGAGAATCACTGGGAATCTCCCAGCTCCACGCGTTGTGCGTCAGTCCCATTCTGTTTGCATTCAGCTCACGTACGTTTTACTTTCCTGCCTCTGCTCAGCAGAGAGGATGCTTTTCCCTTGGAGATGTCACCTCCAGCTGGCCCCAGTGGCTCCTCATTCTGACGCTGGAAAGCGTCTGGCTCTGTTTGACGTTCTTCTTACCAGTGCCAGGGTGCCCTACGTAAGTGAACCCTTGTACGTAATCCCTTTTTAAAGGTCATTTCCTGCCAAGTCACAGGTTCTGGGCTTACAGTTTTCAAAAGACTAAGTCAGGGGAATTTTCATTTCACTCTTTCTTCTTTGAGGCATGCTTTCTATTGAGAGGAGTTTGGTGCATGTCCAGAGAAAGGTCCCTATAGGTTTGTTGGAGGGTTAGTTTGAGTAGAACTTGGGCCTCCCACCTCCTCAGTGGTGGGGCAGTCAAGTCAAAGAGCATAGGTGAGGGTGCCTGGAGCAAGAGGGTATTTTAGGTTGGTGCACGTTTGAGGGTCTTTGAATTGCACTGCATAAGTAGCTAACATAACACCATTATCCCTTCCAGAGTCTTACATTCAAGTGTGGTTTCCACTCTCCTAGGGGTTATCTTGGCCCTGGTGGTATTGGAGATTTGGGGAAGTATCCAAATTGCACTGGAGGAGCTGCTGGCTACATCGACCACCTGCTTCTGGGAGAGAATCACCTTTACCACCATCCTTCTTCTGCTGTGAGTGGGACCGGTTTGTACCTGCAACTAGAAGTTTAGGGTCTCTGAAGTGAAGGAAGGTAGAAAGAGCTGGTCAGCATTAAAAGAAAATATGAGAACTAATTTTTATTTGAAAAGTCAGCTAATGTAATCACTTTAAATTTTATTTTGTGGGTTTAAAGTTACAAGATAAATTTTAAAGTCATTACATTAGCTGACTTCAAACTTCTACACTGCTGGTGGGAATGCAAACTAATACATTCCTTTTGGAAAGATGTTTGGAGAAACATTTAGGGATCTAAAAATAGACCTGCCATTCAATCCTACAATTCCTCTACGAGGTATATATCCAGAAGACCAAAAATCACATTATAACAAAGATATTTGTATAGAATGTTTATTGCAGCCCAATTCATAATTGCTAAGTCATGGAAGAAGCCCAAGTGCCCATTGACCCATGAATAAATTTAAAAATTGTGGTATATGTACACCATGGAATATTATGCAGTCTTAAAAAAGATGGAGACTTTACCTCTTTCATGTTTACATGGATAGAGCTGGAACATATTCTTCTTAGCACAGTATCTCAAGAATGGAAGAAAAAGTATCCAATGTACTCACCCCTACTATGAAACCAATTTATAGCTTTCATATGAAAGCTATAAGCCAATTATAGCCCAAAAATATGAGGAAAGGGGAAAGGGAGGGGGGAGGATGGGTGGATGGAGGGTAATTGGTGGGACCACACCTATGGTGCATCTTACAAGGGTACATGTGAAATTTACTAGGTGTAGAATATAAATGTCTAAACAATAACTAGAAGATGCCTCGAAGGCTGTTAACCAGTTTGATGAAAATATTTCAAATTGTATATAAAACCAGCACATTGTACCCCATGATTGCATTAATGTACACAGCTATGATTTAATAAAAAAAAATTTAATTGGGGATAATTACACCCTACATATTATTTAAAATGAGGGAAATAAAGGAAAAAGAAAATAGAAAAAAATAAAATTTATTTTGTAGCAGTATATAATCATTATTTTGAATTTTAAAGTTAGAATGGGCCAGGCAAGTGGCTCTTACCACTCACCTGTAATCCCAGCCCTTTGGGATGTTGAGGTAAGAGGTTTGCTTGAGGCCAGGAATTTGAGACTAACCTGAGGAAGACGGCCAGGTCCCAGCCTCTCAGAAGAAAAGTTAATAAACTAAGTGTGGTGGATGTACCTGTGGGCCCAGCTACTCGGAGCCTGAGGTGGGAGGATCTGAGCCTAGGACTTTGAGGCTGCAATGAAATGTGATCCTGCCACTGCACTCCAGCCTGCACAGTAGAGACTCTGTCTCAAAAAAAAAAAGTGTGAATGCAGTGTATAAATGGATAGTGCCGTGCTTTTCTGTGTGTCTCAGGTCAGGTTTCCTGGCAGCAGATGCTGAGACATGCATATGAAGCAAGGCTAAGAAGGGGTCCTTGTTGGGTCAGGGGCCAGTGGGGAATGAGGCAGCAGAACTGTGTAGGGAGAGGTGTTGGACTGCAGTCTCTGGGGAGCTGGGATGGCCTTCAGAGTGAATGTGAATCAGGTCAGGTATTGGGCCCGTTCTACCCCTGGTTGGGTGTGGAGTGCCCCCAGAAAGGGGGTGACCCCGGAAGAGAAGCTCTGCAGTTGGGGACAATCCAGAAGAGGGACTTGGCTGAGAGCTGTTGGCCATTAATACTCCTAGAGCTGGAGGAGTGAATACTTCTGTCCTGAAGGGTTTGGAAGGGTCTGGGTGGCGCATGGTACCCTGTTTCCCCAAAATAAGACCTACCCAAAAAATAAGCCCTAGCAGGATTTCTATGCATTTGTTAAATCCTAAGCCCTACCCCGATAATAAGACCTAGTGATGGGCGTGGCCATGCATTTTGGCACAGAAAGCTGAAAATAAGCCCTAGTGTGTCTTCTTGAGAAAAAATAAATATAAGCCAGTGTCTTATTTTCGGGGAAACATGGTAGCATCTGCCAAACAGTGTGTTTTCTAAATTTCTACAGCACTTATTAAAAAAAACACAAATACATTTTTTAACGTTAGTTGCCTGAAAAAAAGACGGGAAGCTGTTGACGTTAACAATAGGATCAGAAAGACTCAGTCTGAAAATTAGGAGGGTGTTAGCATTTCACGTGAAACTTGCCAGGGATGCACCACCACCAAGGCCTGGGGCCTGGCGCTCTTTGCCCTGTCAGCTGGACAGGGGCTGCTGCTAGACCAGGCTTGTGTCTGGGGCTCTGCATTCTCTTCTGAGTGTCACAGCCCACAGTCTCCATATGCTGGCACTGAATTTCTGACCCAAAGCCAAAAACATGGAGTACTGAAGTTTGCATCTGGTCTAAGACTGTGCATTTTTGTGGTCAGTGGGTGAGTGAGTGACCCTCTTACTCTGTTTTGTTCAGGTGCTTTATCACACAGAAGTGGCCTATGATCCAGAAGGAATTCTGGGAACCATCAACTCCATTGTGATGGCCTTTTTAGGAGTTCAGGTATTTGTTCATACCATTAGAATACTTTTTCCTGAAAGTTTATGATTATGGATTCATCACTAATTCAAAAACCATTTCATTAAAATAACATAATTAGAAATATATCTTCTTCTGTGTTACAGATCTAATAGATTCTATTTTGTTCAACAGATTTTATAAAACTAGAAGTTGCTGAAATTCATCACATTTAAATAATTAGATGTAATTCTTAACAGTTTCAAAAACATTAAGTCACCTTAGTGTGGCAGTTTCTGGGTAAAATGTTCCCTGGGCAGTGTGTGTGTGTGAGTGAATGTTGGTAACACTGAGAAGTCACGTTTCTCTTGTGTGCACCTGTCTTAGTCTGTGCTGTTATATCAAAATACCCAGACTGGGTAATTTTTAAAGAGCAGAAATTTACTTCTCAAAGTTCTCGAGGCTGGGAAGTCCAAGATCAAGGAGCTGGCAGTTTGTTAGGTGAGGGTCCAGTCACTGCCCCAAGTTACCACATGAATGGTGTATCCTTCAGTGGGAACAAAGCCAAGTCCTCCCTTGGGAGAGGTGGATGGCAGAGTCTGAACTCGCTGCCCCCAGGCCATTTGTAAGGGTGGAACCTTTAGGATGGAATCACTTCCTTGAGGCCTCACCTTCTAATACTATCACCCTGTGAGTAGGATTCAACATAGGAATTTTGGAGGGGCACAGACTTTCAACCTTATCAATACTTCACATGGCTTTAGGGTATATGTATTTTATGCCACAGTCAACATAAGTTATTCTTGGTTTATCTTACTTGTGAGTTAGTTAAAACTCTGAGCAGTTGAGATTTTTCTTCCTAAAGTTCTCCATATTGGTGTTTGAAACTGTTGTGTGAAGGGAGCCATCCTGGAGGGGGAGAGCTTGTAAAGCAGCGCTACTAGAACTTTCTGTGATGATGAAAACCTCATCTGTGCTATCCAGTGGGCGGCCCCTCTTCAGGGAAGATGCTGAGTACTCTGAGCATGATGAGTGGGTCTGAGCAGCTGCGTTTTGAATTTTAGTCAGTTTGACTTGAAATTTAAATAGTTACCTGTGGCTGGTGGCTCCCCCGTGGGATGGCATCATCTAAAACACATAGGCTGCCCCTGAGTTCCAAACGCCTGACTTATGAATGGAGGCTGTGACAGGCAATAGCTAAATGTGCCTTTTCCGATTTACATACACATTTAACTTCAGAACAAACCCACTGAACCTGTCTTGTTCATAACACAGAGACTGCCTATATATAGTTGGCCCTCATGTGATTTAAAATACATGTGTAACTTTTGATTCCCCTAAAATTTTACTAATAGCCTACCAGGTGTCTCACTGATAACACAAACAGTCTACACTATTTTATACTGCAAAGCCAGTTAATACTGGCTTTTTAACTCACAGTTATGCTGCATAACTGTTATATAACACTAACAGTTTACACTATTTTATATGTTTTATATTTTTTTATTGTATTCTTACACTCAAGTAAGGTAGAGAAGAGAAAAGGTTATTACAAAATCACAAGAGCTGTATTTACTGTTCACTGAGTGGATGGGGATCTTCACAACGGTCCCCCCATCATCTCCATGGTGAGTGGGCAGAGCAGGAGGAGGAGCTGGTCGCACTGTCTGTGGGTGACGGAGGTGGAAGGAAATCCACACCCACGTTGTTCAGGGTCAGCTGTGCTTTTTGATGACTAATTTTACCCTTTGCAATCCTGCCCCTCAGCTGGGTGTGGTGGCTCACACCTGTAAACCCAGCACTCTGGGAGGCCAAGCGGGTGGATCACTTGAGCTCACAACTTTTCGCAGCCTGAGCAAGAGCGAGACCCTGTCTCTACTAAAAATGAAAAACTTGAGGCAAGAAGATTGCTTGAGCCCAAGAGTTTGAGGTTGCTGTGAGCTATGACACCACTGCACTCTACTGAGGGTGACAAAGTGAGACTGTCTGAAAAAAAAAAAACAAAACACTGCCCCTCCCTCTGCTGCGCCTTGTGGTGCACGCTGTGCCGTTGCACGTGCTCATTTAATCCCTGCCTGTGCTGCGCCTTGTGGTGCACACTGTGCCGTTGCACGTGCTCATTTAATCCCTGCCCGTGCTGAGCGGGTGAATCTGCCCAGCTGAGCAGGGTGGAGCTTGGGTGCCGCCCTGGCACTGCCCGCCCTGGCTTTGCATCCAACGCTGCCCTCACTGGCCGGCACCCCAGGGCGCGTTGCATGCCCCTTGGTGCTCTGCCTCATAAAGGGGTTGTGAGGATGAAATATAAGAGTTTGTGTGAAGTTCTGAGAAGTGGCCCACATATAACATTCATAAATATTAGCTGCTATTAAAACTATTATCAAAACTTTGTCTTGAGATTATCAGAAATTAGTTCCTAATATCAGAGGGATATTATGCAAGATCCTTATTTTACAGTTTTTAAAATGTTTCTCTGCCTCTAATTCTACCCTGTCCCGGCCCCTCTTCCATTGTGCTGTCATACGGGGCCACCTCGCAGCCTGGTCTGAGCTGGCCTTCGTCAAACTTTGAGGGCATTCTCCTCGCAGGAAAGCCCCTGCCTGCCTGGACATGAGCCTCACAGAGCCTGCCAGACACCTTTCTTTAGCCTTCCTGGCACCACCTCCTTTCAGGCCACTTTGGAGAGGCTGCTCTGCTCCCCCGTTCTTTTCAGCAAGGATCTGTGCACACCACTCCATTCTGATCAGAGTGCTTTTCCCCAGCCCTCTCTTGCTGGTACCTCAGCTCAGTGGCACCTCCTCTCCCTCCCTGGCCCCGTGTTCCTCTGTCTTCCTTCACCAGTCGGGGGGGTGTGATGTTTCATTCCTCCTCCCAGGTCCTTCGTCTCCCACAAATGCTCTGTCTGTGGGATGAGTAAGACAGTGGGGTGAACATGAAATAAAATCTCTTGGGTGATTCTCTTCATGTGTTGTGTTTTCTTTTCCAGGCCGGAAAAATACTGTTATATTACAAGGACCAGACCAAAGACATCCTGATGAGATTTGCTGGCTGGTGTTGCATTCTAGTAAGTAATGGAATTCCTTCTCGTCACGTGTGTGCGTTTAAAACAAAGCACGGGCATAGCAGTTGCCGTCACACGTCACACTGTATCGGGTGACATTCTTCATTTGAATGACAGGGAGGAACAGACCTTACACCTGAATGCACAGGTTTATTTTCTTAGGAAAATGTCAGTGTAAGTTAAGGCAGTGTTTTTCATCACACAGCCAGCCAGGAATGTCAAGAGAAGCAGGATGCGTGGGGGGCGCATCAGAAGGTCTGGGCCTGGAGCAGCAGGGTTCCAAACATCAAGCTCCAGATTTACAAGTGAAAAAAGAACTGGGAGGTTGACTGACTGTTCATTTTACCCCCAACCTTGCTATCATATTTTCTCTCAGGATTTGTTGTAATTGGTCAGTTTATTTTCTTCAACTCAGAGGAGCGTTGAAAAGTCCTTTTAAAGGGACTTTCAGTTGTACATTTAGAAAATATGTTTTCAATTAAATATAAGGCACACTTTTCAGCCCTCTCTAAGCAATTAAATAACTGATGTATTTTGGTCTTGAAACACATTGTTTTATGAAGATAATAATATGAAACTTTAACCTCCTTCCCCCCATTGTAGGGGCTTATTTCTGTTGCTTTGACTAAAGTTTCCGAAAACGAAGGCTTTATTCCAGTAAACAAAAATCTCTGGTAGGTATACAGAAAAACGCCATTTTAATGCCGACAGTGTGTCATGTTCAAATCCAGTGCGTTCCCTGTGGGCACTGAGATCTTCCTGCCACCTCTCCAGGTCCATTTCCTACGTCACCACACTCAGCTGTTTTGCCTTCTTCATCCTGCTCGTCCTGTACCCGGTGGTGGATGTGAAGGGGCTCTGGACAGGAGCCCCATTCTTTTATCCAGGTGAGTTGCCTCTAGCCCCCAACAGGCTGGCCAAAGACCTCCTGAAAGTTGTCAGCACTGGGCCTTGGGCCACTGCCCTGGCAGCGTATCCCAAGAAACAAGCTTCTGGAGGAAGCAGTAGAGGCTGTCCTGAGCAGACCACCCATTTTTACCCACTTAGGTTGTGGAGTTGTGTGCTGGATTATGAGCCTCACTCACTTCTTCAGGAAATACTGGATTGGGAAGTTCCAGGAATGATTCAGGCATAGCATCAGCTTCTCCTGCTTAATAACAGGACTGTGCTGACTTTCTTTATGTAAAGGCACTACCTTGAATTGCGTGCATTAGCAAACACGTGAAGAGGTGATATGAGGGATGCAGCTCTGCCTGAGGACTGAGAGAAAGCAAATGATTTCAGTGACTCATTTCAGCCTTTGATTCTAGTAACAGTTATGTTCCTTGGACATCACACTGTCTGTCTAGAAAATATAAATTAATAATTTTAGTTTTCCTTTTAAATTTAGTATTCAAAAATTACATTGTTATAGGGCGAACATTTTCTCATAATTTTTAATGTAGTTTATAATTAAATATCTAAAGTACCCATCACTTATTTTTGGCAGTAGCTGGTAATGTAGAAGTGCATGCTTGTTTTCTTGGCTGAACTACTTCCCAGAATTACCTAGGTTGAACAGAAAAACATTGCCTTCTGTGTCTCTCCTGAAGGAATGAATTCCATCCTGGTGTACGTGGGCCACGAGGTGTTCAAGGACTACTTCCCCTTTCAGTGGAAGCTGGAGGACAGCCAGTCGCACAAGGAGCACTTAATTCAGAACATAGTCGCCACTGCCGTCTGGGTGCTCATCGCCTACATTCTCTACAGAAAAAAGATTTTTTGGAAAATCTGATAGTCCTGCAAAGATGTGTTGCTGGAAGACTGGGGGGAATTAATGAAGCAGCCTTTATTATTAAAGGGAATCATTAATCATAAAATGAATGAGATGTTATTTCTAGATTATCAGGAAAGATGATGTGCTCAGATTTGTTTACTGTGTTGTGGCTTGTGAGCACTCTGCCTGTGTGTTTGTGACTCACGTATTTGAAATGAGACTTTTCCTCTGTCTTTTCTGGAAATGGATGTATTTGCAACTTCATTCTAAACAGATCACCTTTAACTTTCCAAGAGGGAATTACATGGGCATTTTTCTTCTGTGATGGAGAAAACAGTCCAGAGTCTGATTCTTACTGATCTTTCTTCCCTGCAACCTGCCTTTTCATGTGTACATAGGCTGACAAAAACATGCTGTCACTGTGATTGTGGTAGGTCCAGGTTATGGCGTGTGATGAGTCATAACAAGGTCTATTTTTAAGTATAGATGAATGCTTCAAGAAGGCCAAAGTAATTTTCATTTCAGATTCACAAAGTTAGGTCCAAAATACGTCTGTGACAACCCATTTCCTCCTTTTCCTCACTTGAAAAAGTTAAAATGCACGTTTCATTCCCAGCCCCTCTTGTGTGTCTGGTTGTCACATTACAGAAAACCTGCCAAGATGTTCTCACATGACTTTAGGGTACAGTCTGAGACACTGGACCCTGAACCTCAGTACGCTCATTCTGAACGTCATGCTTCTTGCACTCTCGCAGATACGTACAGTAGAAGCTCTGGAAGTTGCTTATGTTGACCACCCAAGGAATGGTAACAGACTGCCTACACACGTTCACATAGTTTAAATGAATGGAGACTTGATCAAGGGAGGGGTTTTGCAGAACCCAAAGAGGACAGGTGAGGGCTGGCGAAAGGATCCCCTTTCCCTACCAGGATTGCTCTCAGGAGGGCTGTGCTTTGAGCTTCTGGACAGACTGTCTAGTGTTCTGGATTATTGAAGGAACCAGGTCGCTGCTGCACATGCCGGACCTGGCAGCAGCAGGAAGCTGCCTGGAGACTTTTACACACTTGTTGAAGATTTTCTTTTGGCTGAGGTGCTGTCGCGACTCTGTCTCTGGAGCCAAGTTTCCTTCTGTTACCGTAGGAGGTGAGACGATGTCTGGTACGCATGGCTGTAGGAAGACCTTCGGGGGCTTTGGAACATTATGCTGAGTGTCAACGTGACCCAGATGTTTGGGAAAACATTCCTGAGTGAGCCAGTGGGGGCATCTCCAGAAGTCATGTGCATTTCAATGAGAACACTGGGTGAGGACGATCTGCCCTGGTCGATGTGTATATTCCCCCAGTCTATTGACAGCCAAGATGGAGAGGCAGAGGAAGTGGGAATCTCATCTCTGCGTGGCAGGGGAAGTTCAACTTTGCCTGCCTGCGGGCATCTGCACAGCTCACCAGGCTGTAGCGTTCGACTGCGAGTTACACTATTACCTCCCAGGGTTCTCTGGTTCTCGGGTTTGGACAAGAAGCCCACAGGCCTCATGGCCTCCCGGATTGCTGCCAGCAGATCCCAGAACTTCTGGTGCCTCGAGCATTGCAGGAGACAACCCCTCACCTTGAATCTCCGTTGAGCTCCACCTGAACGTATATTTAATGTCTATTTCCATTTCTCCTATGCGTATGTTTAGCGATCCTGTTTTGTCGAGGCATTTGGCCTAATACGCAGGAGGAGTGTAGCCACCAGATTTTGTTCCATACCTCTCCCACCTATGTTGCCCCAGTCCTCCACCGTGTGCCTTGCCAGGCGGAGACCAGTGGGAGAACTATTGAGTCTGCGCCTGGGGTCACTGTTGGCCAGACCTGAGCCTCCCTCCTAAGGGCACCGGGTTTGCTGCCCCAATCAGACAAGAAGTAGGTGCCTCGCAGTTGACCCTAACCTTGGGAACCCATAAGGACCTGGGACCACTTCTGAGGCCATCTGTCAAACCCGTTCCTCCTCCCTGCACGCTAAGACGTGTTCCTGGACGAGATGCACTTTCAGAGCCCACAGCCACTGTGTGTCCACGGTGATCTGCATTACTCAGAGTGGAAGAGACGGGAGGTGTCCGGGTGGAGAGCTTTAGGATTGTTCAAGTGTCTGTCCGAGTTTTAACACCAGGTTCATCGCTGGAGAGATTTTTAGCACAAGCTCAGGGTGTCTGTGTTCCTCGTGCCAAACACTCTCCTAGGTTGCCGGGTCAACTGCACTCCTGTCGAAAGGTAAAATGACAAGGAATCCAGCGATAGGATCTAAAGCAGCTTTCTTTTTTTTTTTTTTTTTTTTTTT